GCTGTTCGCTGGGCATGTCTGCTAGTTAGCCAGCAGACGCGACAGCCCTTTATTCGTTTGAATAAAGCCGTTCTTGTTAATGCTCTGGTCTAGCCTCTCATTGCTCGAACTTAACACAGACCTTCTCTGAATGATTATTAGCTGGATGGGTTTTCGCCCCTCTCCTGTTAATTTTATTACATAAAATTTTTATATTATTTTTTTTGTGTGTAAATTGAAAATAACTTTGATGTGCTTTTGTGCAGGGAGTGGTATAAATGTATTACATCACTATCGTTATTTTTGCAAGGTCTGTCTTATCTCCATCTATAAACTTTTGTCAAGAAGCTATGGGGATAGGGGTGATGAATCCTAGCAAAGCAAGTCCCTCTGATGATTTCTTGTCCAAAACATTATGCTCAATAAATGCAGTTTCATAAACAGAGAACTCTCCCCTTTAAGACAAACCTGAATTACCTCCAATGCAAATCTAATGGGCAAATGATATAGTAAAATGTCATGATCTGAGTGCAATTACTAATAAGCCATTTATTAGCAGTATGAACTAAATGATAAATATTCAGTTACAACAAGCTCTGCAGTACCTACATTTTTCCTATGAGTTATATTAACCGCAAAGCTTTGTCCAAGTACAAGGAATTAAACTGGATTAAACATTATATTTGAAGAGGCCATTCTTAAGCATAAGCCATGGTGTGGAAACCTCGCCGGTTGAATTTATGTAACCTACTTAGTCTATAGATTGAGTTGACTTGTTGTATCAATCCAACCACTATCAAGCATTTATTTTATGTATTAATTTTCTACAGCATCCAACTCCCAGTATTTCTAAATTGCGACAATACCAGTATGTATCTTATATTAAGACTCAAAAGTGTATATTAATACACTAAGGGAAGTATTTCATCACACATAGGATTGAGTCTTGCCCAGTAGAACACTTTCTTTGTATAAATAACTCTATCAAATGTCACATCCTCATAGCAATAACAGCCAAAAATATTTTTTTTTAAATGGGGAACTAGACATGCTCTCTCACCATAATATTTAGGCACTAGAGTATGCTCAATACAATGGCAGGGCACTCAGTAGTCCAACCCAATTCTTTCAGCATTCTACCAGATGTGTATGCTATTATTCATTAATAAGCATTATGCAACAGCAATAGTTTCAGTTGGACAGACTTTTAGTTATGGAATTTCCCACTTGTTTGGGGGGTTAGAATGTGTAGCTCTTTGCTAAGATTGAGTTGTCTTTTGAGTTTCTGAATTAAAAGCCACTGGGGATTCAAAGGACGTGCACATTGCAAGCAGAGGTAAGCCTCTGACAGAAGTATCAGGGTCTGATGGATCCTTCCTGATCCAGGAATCACATCACAATGTGATCTGCTCGTGCACAGAGTGATCAGATAAAGCAGTAGATTGTGCACAAAGAGTCCTGGCTGATGAAAGCTGCCCTTTGCTCTCTGCGCTGTACTTTTCCAAGCTACAGATCCATGGCCATGAGAGAGGGGAACCAACTTGGCTTGATGATCGTGGACCTCTGAGCTGCCATGCAACACTGAACTTTGAGCAGCATTTCTCTCACAGAGTGATAGAACAAAATTGTGTTTATTATGCCCTTGCACAGTTCTTCTTTTGACTGAAAAGCAGAACAAACACATTCATTTCTTAGACAGCCTCACAACCATTCAGAAAGAGGACCTGTCGGGAAAGTCTCTAGATATTTATTTGTTTGGGTGGGAGGAAAAGCTCATTGCTTATTGTGGACATCATGGAGACGTATTGAAAAAAGGAGATTCCTTCTGAAATTTCCATATACTTCCCAGGAAGTTGATCTTGTTTATCGTTGTGTGGCTGCAGGTGGGGAGTAAAACTAGGATGGAGGGTTTAGGCAACTTGCAAGTTGCCCCAAGTGATAGGTCACCAATACGTAGAAGTGGTGGTGGTGGTTTGTAAGGAGCCTTGATACTTTTTTCCTGCTTCTCTGGGCATTCCCCACTCCTCAGTGCCTGTGAGCTGTTGCTCTGGTTAAAAGGGAAAACAAACAGAATTCATGCCAATTTCACTCAAGCTCCCATATATCCAACATGGTGGCAATGTTGAAGGAAGTGGTTCTCAGCACCTGCAAATTGCCATTGTCAGTCATGCTGGGTAGAACAGACCAGGAAGCCAGCTCCACAGTAAGGCTAAAAGTAGCTTTATTGAGATTAGCTATAATATCTGAATCTTGCAAGTGTGATGGTGCTTTGCCTTCTCTTTCTTATAATTCACCGAATTAGAGAGGCATCTGTGTGAGCTGCTTCTGAATGTTATCGATAGTCTAGGCTTTAAAAATGCGCTAGCCCAGGGGCAGGGGTGGGATTCAATTTTTTTAACAACTGGTTCTGTGGGCGTGGCTTAATTGGTGGGCATGGCTTGGTGGTCATGTGACTGGCTGGGTGCGGCCCACTCAACATCACTCACATTGAGGCACGCATCTCCTTGCCTGGCCTCTCGTGACTGTGGGGATGCCGCAACAGTGGTAAGTGTGAAAAATGGTCGTAAGACACTTTTTTTCAGTGCCATTGTAACTTTGAATGGTCACTACATACAAGCAAAGTACCAGCAAAGGAGGGGAAAACAATTCCAGAGAAGTTCCTGAGACAGGATGTCTGGTCCTGCCAAGAATGTAATAAAGGTTAATGGAGAGGCAGTTTCTGTAAGCAACACCAGAATGTTTCCTTCCTGCCTTCCTTACAGGATTAGGCCAGTAATTTCTTCTAACAACCGGTTCTCCAAACTGCTTAGAATGTTAACAATCAGTTCTAGCGAATAGGTGCGAACCTGTAGAATCCCACCCCTGCCCAGGGGTGTCAAACTGGATTTCTTTGCGGGCCAGATCAGCATTGTAGTCCTCCACCGAGGGCTGGCTATGGAGGGCGGGCGGGGAGACAGGACAGATACCTCCTGCAGCACCATGCCAGCTAAAACAGGGTGTAGGGGAGTGCAAGAGCCCTCCAGCACTCTGTTTTTGGCCTGGACCAGGGCTGGGATTCTGCCGGTTCTGTCCGGCTCTGTAGAACTGGTAGCTCTGAAGAGCAGCAGGCATAGAACCGGTTCTATGTCTGCTGCTGTTTTGGCCCACATGACTGCCCGGGCTCTTACCTGACCTTTATTTCCTGCTTTTGCAGCCTCAGCTGCCACGCGAGGCACAGCTGCGATTGAAAAAGCAGGAAAAAAGTACTTTTTCAAATGCTGCTTCCCTGCACGCAGCGCTGCTCAGCTGTCCAGGCAGCTAGATGACGAAGAGTTACACACGTGTGCAGGGAAGCACATCGTAAATCCCCAAACCGGTAGTTAACCCTGTTGGATCCCACCCCTGGCCTGGACAGTCTCTTGCATCACCCTGCCAGCCAAAACGGGGCACAGAGGGGCCTCATGTGGCCCCCCTGTGCCCCATTTTGGCTGGCAGAGTGCTGAAGGAGGCCATCCAGGCCAAAAACAGGGTGCTGGGGGGCCACACGTGGCCTCCCCATGCCCGGTTTTGGCTCCCAGAGGCATTGCGGGCCAGTCCTTTGCTATTTCCAGGCCAGCCCCAAGGGCCAGATTTAAGTACCCCGCAGGCCTTGAGTTTGACACCCTTGCTCCAGCCTGTTTTGCCTAGGAATCAGCTTTTGCAGATGTTCATCCAGGTCATTTTCCTCACTTTTGACATTTATGAAATAGGCAAAGTGGTGCACGAGTGGGCAAAATGATGCTCCTCACTCAAGTCTTGTTGCTTCAAACCTTGTGTTGGCTGAAGCAGCAGAAAGCTCATCTGGGCCGGAAGTTGCAAAACACAACTGGCAGAATATGGTTCTCATTCATGTTTTAAATCAACCTTTTCCATAACTAGGTTTGTTTTAGTCCTGTTTTTTTTTTTTTCATGAAAACATAGAAGCTAAGGGTGGGAAAGAATGTTAAGGATCATGTAGTCTTAACTCCTGGCCCAGTTCAGGAATTCACTACTACCACAGCTAGAACAGCCATCTGTCCATCCATCCATCCATCCATCCAGACTGTTATTGTTGAACAGCTCTTACCATCGGGAGAATTCTCCCTGATGCCCTACTGAAATTAACTTTCTGATAACTTAAACACACTTTATCTTGCTTTGTCTTCTGAACACTTCTGGCCCATTTTCTACATAACTGTTCAGATGATGATCATGTCTCATTCAATCCCAGCTTTAGTCTGTACTGTGTTACTCATAAGTTTTTCCTCCCAGTAACTTTATCATTTTGCTGGCTTTCCTCTAGTTAGTTTGTCAGTGTGCTTCCTAAAATGGGAGGACAAGGTGCAGTGTGATGATTGCTGAATAGTATAATAACATTGTACTTGTTGATGTAGCTTAGAGTTTTCCTTCCTTCCTTCCTTCCTTCCTTCCTTCCTTCCTTCCTTCCTCCCTCCATCCCTCCTTCCTTCCTTCCTTCCTTCCTTTCCTTCCTCCCTTCTTCCCTTCCCTTCCTTCCTTCCTTCCTTCCTTCCCTCCCTCCCTCCCTCCCT